TTGGGTTCAAAGGGTTATCAAGAGGTGTTATGTGCTTGCTCAATTGCACATGCTTCAGAGCATTTTTACCCCTTCAAATCAGAAGTACTGTATGACCCACCAGTTTCAACATGATATGGGCAATCCTCATTTAGCAACTGCCTCATTTAGTAACTGCTAAATGTTAAAGTTACAGTGGAGATTAAAAAGTAACTTTATGATCAATCCTCACATTTATGTCCTTCGCAAGTCTATAAAGCAAAGGAAATCTGAAGCAGGATGTAAGCACAGTTGCTGTTTCACTTAGTAGCCACTTTGCTTAATGACCAAATTGCTGGTCCCAATTATAGTTTGCTAACTGAGGATTACCTGTAGTGGTTTAAATGCAACCCCAGATCTTTTGGGATGTGGAGACTATTAATTAACAATACCTCTTAACTGAGAAGAGAAAAAAAGTTTCCTTATATTAATACTTAGCCCCCAAATGCTTATTGATTTCTTTAAAAGATCCAAGAAAGTTTTATAGATAGATAGATAGATAGATAGATAGATAGATAGATAGATAGATAGATATAGAGAGAAAGAGAGAGAATTTTTTTGATTTAGATGACTACCCATGTCACAATAGCGACTCTGTGCAGCTTACAAACATTTAAAAACAATACAAAATATTCCAGACAATCTACAAGGGAAGTAGCTTCCTTTTTAGTCAAGTCCCAACGTGTCATACTACAGACCTGCATCCATCTGGCTTGGCATGTGCATTGAAGTATCATCCCTGAATAAACCTGTCAAATGAACACAGAGACCCTTGCCAACTGAGGTGTTTTGAAAGTAAAAATTTATAAACATTAGGAGAGCCATCTGTTATATTTAAATTCAGTGGTTTCTGAGGTGAGCTACAGATCTTACATGAAAACTATTTTATAAAGGCAATGTTTTCACCCAAGCCTCAAAGGAAAACATTGATGCATTTTCTGTGATGCGTTTCCAAAAGCCTGGTAGAAAGAGGGATTTAGATTCTCTGAGGACCAAAATGTTGGAATTTGCATAGAAGCTGGCAGTTTCAATATTTCTGCATAAATATAACCTACCGGTAAACGTTATCTCCAACAAGTCCTAGAACTAGGAAATGAGAACCCAATTAAAAAAATATTCTTAGTCCCCTATTTTTGAGGAGAATAATCCAAAGCTATATATTTGTATGTGGCAAAAGTATGTAAACCTCTCAGATTATCAGTTCATTTGAGGGGAAAATTAGAGTCAAGAGTTTTAATCAATGGGATGATAATTAGATATGAGTGTGGGAGGTCCTGTTTTATTTAAAGAACAGAATTCTGGCTATTCACTATCAAAGTCTGGTCTTCACAATACAGGTATGTGGATATGTGTCATGAACTGAAAAATATTTCTGAGAATTTCCAAAAAACAATTGTTGATCCTTACCAAACTGGAAAAATTACAAAACTATTTCCAAAGAGTTGGACTCCACCAGTCCACTGTCAGGCAGATTGTGTACAAATGAAGCAATTCAGCACTGTTGTTACCCTCCCCAGGAGGGCTGGTTGACTAACCAAGAATATACCAAGATCAAGATGTGTAATATTTTGGGAAGTCTCAAAGAACTCCAAGGTAACATCTAAGGCTGTGTCTATGCAGATTCTCAGTCATCCAGGTCAGAGTTGTCCCAAATATGTTTTTTCACGAGGCAATTGGACTTTCTTGTTTTTCTTTGAAGACGTTTTACTTCTCATCCAGGAAGCTGAAGAAGAAATAAAAAATAAGAAAGTCCAGTTGCCTCATGAAAAAGCATCATTGGGACATCTAATGCAGTGATTCTCAACCTGTGGTCCGTGAGCCCCGGGGAGGGGGGGGGCACAATGTCATCACAGGGGATCCATGAAGGCTTGAAGAAATGTTATGATTTAAATCTTGAGTTGTCTTGGAGGTCCATGGCCATGGTCTGTGACCACAAAAAGTATTTAAAGGGGGTCCATAATGAAGAAAAAGTTGAGAACCACTGGTCTAAGGAACTAAAGGACTCGCTTGCATTGGTGAATGTCAGTGTTCATGAGATCACAATCAAAAGAACACAGAAGAACAATGGTGTGCTTGGCAGGGTAGCAAGGAGAAAGCCACTATTCTCCAAAATGAACATTGCTGCCCACCTACAGTTTGTGAAAGAACATGTAGGACAGATGAGACCAAAACAAAACTTTTTGGTCTGGCTGAAAAATGTTATGTGGTGAAATTGAAGTGCAGGTTTTAGCCTGTAAAATTCTTTATGACTTGGCATTGGCTTACTTCCAGCAGATGACTACCCAGAAATAATTCCCCTGAGAACCCACGTGACACATATTATGGAAGCCGCAGAGCTTCTTCTGTACAAACACAGCTTTGAGTTGACTGGGAAGTGCATCAGGAAACATATTTGTAGCATACCTTTCCCCAATGTATTGGAGATTTTCTGGCTTGGGGATTTTGATTGTCCTCACACTCAGGGAGGGTACCAGCCTAGAGAAGAAAGCTGTTTATGCTTCCTTCCAGTTTTTGTCAAGTAACTCTCTACTTCCCCATTTACACTCCCAGTAACATTTCCAGTAGTGGTAACAGAAGTAGTAGTATGTGCTTTATCATTTAAAACCCATTATCAGGATTAATAATCCTGGGGCCTTTTTTGTCTCTTATAGCTCATTACCATTACTAGATTGTTACTGGACAAAACCAGAGCAATAAGCAGTAACCACCGATAGCACAATTCATTATGAAAATCTCCAAAGTTTAGGTGAAGGCCAGTGGATAGTTAATGCTATGAATGAGTATCTGGCTTCTCTATATCTGAAAGCAGAAAGCCAAACTCACCACAACAGAAATGTGAAACCTGTAGAGACATGTTGATGGTCAGATACACAATCCATTAGGCAAGTGATGTCAAGGATAAAGAGCAGGGAGTCAAGAGCAAGAAACCCAGATGATCACAAAAGGCAAAGTCATTGTTGCTAGCAAATAGAACTTCCAAATTATGTACTCATGTATTAATTATGCAGCTACTCCCAGCCTTAGAATGCCTTTGATCTTTACCAGACATAGTTCTTTGAGCTCTGAGTGCTGATGTTCCCTTCCTGTTCCCATTATTTGCAAAAAATCTATCCAGTGGCAATTCACAATGAGGAGAGAAAACTGTCTGGAGTTCTGGTGAGTTGGAGGTCCATAGGAGGTTCTTCTTAAAAGCAGGGTTGGGATCTCTGTTGTTAGAGATCACAGTACTGAGCTTGCTTTCTATCTTGCAGAATTTCAGGTGTGATCAGGATGCCCAGAATTATTTAGATCACTTGGTATGCAGAACAGCAGAAAGCTGCACAAAACAGAACTTGTCTGCATGCATGTAGTGCCAGGTGAAAGCTGTCCTTCAGCACTGTTGATGTTTGACTTTGTATTTTTAGCTGCCAAAGCAATAGGGTGGCTATACTAAATTACCTGGCTGGCGAGATGTCACAAGAAGGGAAAATGAGATATTGCAAGAGAAAAACAATTAACTGGCCTGCCCACTAGACAGCCTCTCTCCGTCATGCTTTGAAGTTTCCTCGGTAGGGTTCCTTCCCTTCTGAAGTGAGCCAATTACAGTCTTAACTGTGGAAAACTGCAGCAGGTGGGGATGTCATCAGAGCTTACAGCCGGTGTGTTGCATTGCATCTGTGAATGTGTACATTTTAAGAAAATTTAACCATCTGTCAACCTATCAGATGTATGTGTGTGCATATTCATGCATACATATACCCAGACATGGTTTACATAAAGACAAGTCCTGTGGCCATATCAAACTATGAAAGGTAAACTCCAGGTAGCTGTGTTTGGGTTAATATGCAATGACTGTATGAAATAGTCTGAATATTGTAATTTGCTGGATAGTTTTTTTTACAAAAGCAGGTCTGCATTTTTTCTCAAAATGTCTTTGTTTTCTGGACAGGTTTTCCATTTTTCTTCAAATACTGTATGCTATTTAATCAATGCATAATATATTGATTTTCACAGTGAAAAACTAGGTTTGTGATGGGCTACTGTCCATTTCCAATGGGCAAGTTGACTCAAATGAACCTTTGCAGGCAAGTTATATGTTCCCAAGTAAAACTGCATATTTGGAATCGTTCAGCTAGTCATGTCTTAATTATTCAGAGACTCTAAGGTTCTTTTTTATTTAATTTGGAACGGCTTAGTTTTTTTCTGAGAGGATCTTTCAACTTTCAGTTCAATAATACTTTTTAGCTTGAAGCTGAAGTTGATTTTGGTTTCATCTTGACATTTATTATATTTAATTAATTGTTCTTGGAAGTAGCAAGATAATATATACACCACAACATATATGCATACAGAGACTTGTTTGTTTTGTAGAGCTTTTATATTACCTCATTAAAAAGGAAGGAAGGAAGGAAGGAAGGAAGGAAGGAAGGAAGGAAGGAAGGAAGGAAGGAAGGAAGGAAGGAAGGAAGGAAGGAAGGAAGATTTCTGCCACTCCCTTCCAGCTTCCCACAAGCAAATTCAATGGGGAAGCCAGCAGGAAGTTGGAAATTGCTTCTCCTGCTGCTGTTTTTAAGCTCACCCATGATCATTCTGTTTCTCGAACAATGACCTAACTGGGCATGAGTTGTCTAGTCTTTTCACAAAGTTGCTATGATTCTTCTGATTCTTTTGTGTTTCAGTTACCTTTCATTCCATTGTCACTGGATTTTTACTTCTGCTATTGAAATTCTGAAGATTTTACATGAGAGCATAACATTTGTGTCTTAGAAAATGGTAGTAATCATTGACTGAAAGCAGTAAAAGCCAAATTAATTTGCTGATGTTTATTTATTGTTACAAAATAATCATGCAATTGATTTAAGTAATTTATTTTTGGCACTGAATTTTAATTTGATTTGATACAGAACAGCTTAATACAGGGAAAAAAATTCTTGCATGCAACTCTTGCGTGCAACGCGTTTATTGCATTTTTTTTTTTTACTAATTGTATTCTTTACATTTAGTTTTCAGGACTTTATCTGCTGTCATTCTTCACAATCCTTATTGGCCTTTTGCTGTACTTCTCTACATCCACATACATTGCCCAAGATCCACGGGTGTACAAGCAGTTCCGAAATCCTTCAGGACCTGTTGTAGACTTGCCAGCCACTGGGCAGCTAGAACCTTCAGTAACATACACCAGCCTCGGCCAAGAAACGGAAGAAGAATCTCAAGTCCGTGTTGCCTAAACTCAGGCTCTGCCACCCTTGGTGGAGTTTGTATCACCATTATCTCTGTATCATTCATAGAGAAAGGTATTTTCCAGATGCAGTGATTACAGTCAGCTGCAAGGTAGCAAATAGGGGAGGTTTATTAAAAATAACCATCACTATTAAAATCTTTCCAAGAATACTTGACTAGGAGTATAATTCACAGTCCTTTACTTAGAGCAGTGCTTTTCAATCTCTTAAGGAGACGTTGTGAAATGATAGGGAAACTTTCCTGAAAGACAGTTTGCCTACCTTAAAGCCTCCATTAGAATGGAACCCATATGTATGTTGTAGAGGACAGACTTTAGTTTACATAGGGTGAGGCAAACAGGCTTGGCCAGAGCCATATCTGAACCGAAAATCCATTCTACAATATGCCCTGAGACCCTTCGCAGTATGTTGGGGACATACATAAGTAGATTCTGAGGGAAGAGGGAGGGGGGAGGGGAAGGGAAAAGATCACAAGGAAACCAGTGGACAAGTATCTCCCAGTGTCACTTTGCTAACCTTTTCCATCTGGAATGCTGAAGCAACAGTACAATAGTAAGGCCTCTGAACAGAATCAATATGATTTAAAATTGTTCTAATTCTTGGCAGAAATGCCATTCAAGTCAAAAGATACTATGCAAAAGGATTTAGGAAACGGTTTTTCTTTTTAATGTATTTTGCCCGAAGACATTACTTGGGAACATCATATCTAACCAATAGGATGAACCTTGAAAGATAATTCTCCATTAAGGTATATTTTCCCTGACCAAACAGTGACCAAAATGATACTGGTAGATTATTTTCCACCGTTACACATTTTTCATTCAGAAAATAAATGAAGTCCTGAGAACTATTTTTGTGCAGTTTTGTCTAGTTGGGCTTTAAAAAGAATTTCAGTGCAGGTAAAGTTGATGGGGAAAAGAGATGAAATGGGAATGAATACCAGATGAGAATTGGAACAGTTGACGGCAGGTGGGTTATCTTCAGTTTTTTTTCAACCTCTAGAACTCCACCGGTCTTCCTGCTTCGCTCTTTCCAAACAAAACTGAAACAAAAAAACAACCCTTCCACACACACACCTTGACCTGGGGGAAAAACTCTTCAGAACAATGTCGAATGCTCCCATCAAGGGGTAGATTCCAACTGAGATGTGGGAACTGACTACAAGTCCCCAAATCCTTGTCAGGAAAATTCACTCTGCATACCAGTTTCCACCAAGAATGGGTACTCTTCCTCAGTGACAGTGATAATTTCTGGAACATTAATGCCAAATTTGCATTCGAGTTCCAGGCAGCCAGCAAGAAAAGAGACAATGCTGTGCATCTAAAAAAAAAAAGAAGAAGCCTGGCGCTGCTACTCCTTATCTCCTCTTTTTGATGTAATGGAAGCGAAAGAGGCAGGCTTTCAATAGGGCCTGTTTCATGTAAGTTTGAATGAAGACTTGAAAACCTGAATATTTTCAGGATGAATGTGGATGTGTTCGCCAATTACTGATGGAAAGGGACTAGAAGCATGGGAAGCAAGAAAACTTGGTAATTAGCACTTAATGCAGCAAGGGAAATGCCTAGTAGGGCCAAATATACATAGATATTAACAACTGTTGTCCAACTGAGGTACACAGAATCTATACCTTAGTGCCATTGTGTTCATTCAGCTACCTTAGCTATCTAGTTGCCCATTCTCTGAAGCCTTTCTTAGCCTGGGCCCTCCTGATGTGGTGGGCAGAATTCTCTCACCTCTGGCTGTGCTGCCTAGGAGTTGCACTGCAACATCTCTTGAAAGGCTGAGGTTTTGGGAAGATGACTCAGAAGAAGTTCTGGGAAGCCATGGATGGACAGCTACCAATATCCATCTCTATTCTAAGAATAGGTTGAAAAGAAACTTTTTAACCTTTTTAAAAATATGTGCATAATAATATAGTAGTCAAACATTGACCTCTGAAATATTTTTTACAGTAATATTATGGGCAGCTGAGATTTGCTGATAAAAAAGTACGTTTCCATCTTCAGTGTCTTAACCTTAGAGATATAAACAGGTTCCTTACTCTTCACAAATTTAGTTGCTACTAAGAAAAAAGAAATGGAATATTTTTGTAGACATTCTGTCCAAGAGAAGAACACAGGAATAGCTGACCTGGGCTGCTCTCATTCACAATCTGATACTGGCCAGATCTGAACTGTTTAGAACTCAGTGTATTCAGAGTCTTTATGCTTATTCCATATTTTTTGGAGGAGGAGACCTACATAACTGATATTTCTTCTGAATCTTTGTCCATTGTTTTTGCTTTCACTCAATAATCCATTCCTGGTTCCAGATGCAATGGCTGCTTAGATCCTTAGTCTTCTAGTAAGGATTGACCATTCCTTTCCTTAACAAAATTCTTATGATTGTCACTGCTCAGTGACACATGCATTATGCTCAAACTGGTTAATTAAAATATAGCCTCATTTCCTGGTTAGGAAAAGCACCCAACTGATTTTTTTTCTCTGTCTGCAAAATTAATTTAGCAATTAGGCAGTAGCTTTGTTTCCCTGAAGAATATTGGCCAGAGTCATTCTTTTATAGTTATGTATTCAGAAATGTAATCATCTGAATGAAGTTGATGGCACAACAGTTCTCAAAATACCACTACTTCCCAACTACCATAGAATTGGCCTTACTTAAGCAGGATTCAGTTTCCCTAACTGGGGCCTTGCCTTAATCATGGCTACAGTTCTTACAAAGAAAAAGAGGCATCATACTATGTTCATAGTGCCATAAACAATATTAGAATCATCTCCTGTCTTTTAACATCAGAACAAAGATATTCCTGTGACTTATGAACCTTGAAACTGAACCAGAAAAAAAAATCTGATTTCTTTAGAGCTTCTAGTTCTTGAAAGAAAATCAGGATAGCTGTTTGTTTCAACGATGGGGAAGCTTTTCAAAATGTGTTGTTAGAATGGAAGAATCAAATAACTTCTTTTAAAACTTACTCTTTCTGCACAGTTGATCACAGTAATACTGGGGCTGTGTACATTTGAAATATGAATCAGAACAAGTATTTTGGATCCTCTTGGTATGAATACAGCATCTTGCTGCTCTTCATTAGAGCAAACCTGATTGGCTGATTTCAGGTTTCTGAATTAGCCTGAAAAAAAATACATCAGGGTTTTTTTTAGATGCACTAATTTAATTATTTGATTCATTAAAACAGCAGGATCTTTTTTTAGACTAACTCAGAAGCCTGAGAGAACATACATTTGTTTTAATAAGTGGCAAAGAGCTGTTGTGTTTGCAAGAAGTCTGAAGCATTTTTTCTTGATAATATTTGAAGTATGCCCAATTTTATAAAAAAATATTATTTTACCTATCTCAGGAGAAAAAGAGCAAAGAGATGAGGCTACAAAGGTACTAAATATTTCCTCAATGAGCTTAGTTTGCCAAGGAACCTCTTTCTTTTGTTCTTAGTACCAAAAGCTTGCAGTATGCAGTACAGTCGAAATAAGCTACTGCATTTTTATGTGTGAAAATTACACTCACGAAGTCCGTTCTTTTGAAAATTGATCTTCATAATAATCCCAATTCCTCTGAGAGCTGCATATTATAGCACCATCATGCATTGTTCCATTTTAGAAATCCAATGTGTATATCTTTGGTGGTATAGAACTAGGGATTTGCACAACTTGAAAACACTTTTTTTCACACTCAAAACAAATAATTGTGTTCATGTAGTTCTACTGAACCATTTTGAATTAGCGCTGAAGAAGAAGAAAAAAACAACCCCTGAAACACTTTCAGCCCAAATAAAATCCAAAGAAACCCCGTAGTGATTTTTTTACATGGCAAAGAAAATCAAAGAGTATACATTGTGTTTTCTCTTCCATTTTCCTCCATGTGGCCAATGGGCCAGACCCTCTCTTTCCTATCTCTCTTCAATCCACAACTAATATCCTGCCCTCATTCCAATATTTCCAGTGCTTTCCCTTTTCCTTTCCCCTCCAGCTACCTCTGATGTTTGCATACGCTGCTGTCAGAGAAATCCCTCAGCCTTGACTTTTTCCTATTCTTAGACTCCCCAATCAATTCTGTCCAGAGGAATCATGTTCAGTCCATGCCCCATTTTTTTTGTCCTCTACTTCGACCAAAACATTTGAAATACAGAATTTGGTCCTGGCATAAACCACATCAACTATTCTGCTTTATGTGCAGAACAATATGCATATGGAAAATTTTACACACTCCTCTTTACAATCAAATGCCTTCAGATAACAACCTCGCACACTCTAGCATCAACTCCCCTTAGCTACAAACAGCATGACCAATGGTAAGAGATTGTGGGAACTGTTCAACACATCTAGAAGGAAGTTTGCTTGCACTGACTCACCTGTTTTATAATTTACATAGCCTTCATTGGTTTTCTGTGCAAAGAAGAATCCGACTGTGAGCTACTTCGACAGTCTTCCTCATTCCAGCTGCTCTCCAATTATAAAACTAGAAATCCCAAGATCTGACCATTTTAGTTGGGAATCCTGTCCCAGTATATCTGAGAGATGCCAGGTTGGATCATTCTGAGGTAACTGGGTGTAAGCAATAGCCCTTTGCTTAAACAATGCTATCAAGTGGCCTTGTTTCTGCTTCATTTTGCATACAAATCAAATTATTAAGACTATTTTGTAAATTATTCTGTGACAAAGATTCTGTACTGCTTTTTGCAACAGTCTTTCACAAGCTGGGTGCAGAGGAGAGGGATAGAATTAGAAACCTCACCTATAAAACAGTTGGGCAAAATTACCATTTCTTTTAGAATCAGAATGTTACTGCTGGGTGGTCATTCATATATTTAGAGCACATGTTATTCCTGAGGGTGTACATGAGTTCCAGGCACTGCTTAAATATCACTGATATCATATTTCATTGTGGCTTAAATATTGGCTTGACACATTACATCAAGTCTCTCTTGATAAATGTAGGCTTTAATTCTGAATATGCTTGGATGTATCTAAAAGAACAGGGTTTAAGTGTGTTCAGGGGCCTTAACTGTTTTCTCAGGTTTTAAAAATCAGAAGTCAGCTGATGAGCATTGCCATCTCCCAGTCCTTTTTGCTACCTTTTATACCAATTAAATACCTTTCTCTGAATCTGTGGTTCCATGCTTGATCTCAATGACTTTCTGAAGAACTTATGCCTTTATTTTCTTGCTTAAGCATTTGTCTTTCATAACTTTTGAGGACTTTTATTTATAGTATTTATTTTGTAAGCCAAATGTTGTTGTAGGTTCTCTTTTAAAAATAACTCATTCTTATGACACTAATTTGTAGATTACTTTCAGTAGGAGCGATGAGAGGCATCACTCAGCTCACTCAATGCTCTTCCTGAAATAGAGCATTGCAAGTTGCAATCTTTCAAGGCTGGATGGCCACCATTGAGCTTCACCTCCTCCCCCCAGCCCTAAAAACATTTCAAATTATTCTTTTTGCATGGGGCAAGGAGAATAGACAAAAGAGGTGGAAGACTGGTATGTTTAACAATGGAAGCTGCCTTATATTAAATTATTATTGCTTCATTGAACCCAAATAATGTTTTTCTGGTTGGCAACAAATCTGGGGCAGAGGTCTGCCAGTCCACTAAGTTCCTGTATCTGCAGAAAATGGTGTTTGGCCTCACTGCCTTCTGCTTAGAAATCAACAATTCTTCTCTTGAGCAGTCGGCTTTTTAATTCTTCTACAATTGAACAATGTTGTTAAACATATTTATTGCCTAAATGAAATGCCAAGATAAATTGATTGATGCATAATGAAATGTCAGGTCCATCTGCAAGAGTTTCTTTGTCTGATGTCTTGCCAGTCTAAGAATTGGGGGGTAGGGGCGGGTGGGGCATCAGCAAAGCTCTTTTAGTTCAGCAAGTAGCTACACTATCAGTTTAGCCATTGACTTCATTGGAAAATGGATGGGCCAGTTCCTGGAGGTGAAAAAGGTATTCAGCTATCCTGACTGTACTGATATAGTTCAGTAACTGAATCGGAAGCTGTAGCAACAGTTTGGTTTGTCTTCTACTAGAAAACTCAAGAATACAATCAGCAACCAAGATAGACCAAGCAATTGATGTTTTGCATCACTGTGTCAGATGAAGATGCTTCCGTACATAGTTTTAGATATTGCTAACTTGTGCCATTAACATTTTCAACCAGTGTGTTGTATTTTCTCTTTTTAAAAATGACATTAGTATTCTCAAGCTAGCTATAAATATCAATTTTACCCCATGGGTAGGATTTTAATTGTTAAATGCCATAATAAAAGCACACTAATTTTGACACTTACAAATGGAAGTAAGAACCAAAAACAAGGAACGTCCACAATATTCACTCAGACAAATTATCTGTTTTGATATTTGCATGCTCCAACATGGACTGGCTGTGGCAATGTAATGCCTGTATAATGTTTTCAAATAATAAAAAAAGATAATCCTTTATATAAGCCAAGATTGTTTTTGTTCTGAATTAAAATCAAGTGAACATTCTCCATCCCAAGCCCATTTGCTTCTGGGGACAGATGTTTATAATATACTGTATACAGTCACAGTTTTTCTTTAGGTAGCCCACACGTTTGTCATATTAACCCAGAAGCAATGTACATACATGTTGATGTTGGACACTTGATTGTTTTGTGTTATTTAATTCTTTCTGAACTTTCCATACACTTAAAAATCTTCACAACACCATTAATATTTTCCTGTACTTTGCTGGAATGTCTTGAGATTAAACATAGAGATACCAGCCTGTAATCAGTTAATATATCCACACTTTACCTTTTTGCCTGACCCTTTGCAGGAACATTTTTTTTCAATTCTAATCCCATAAAATTATGGAAATTGAAACTGAAAAACAGCTGTCATAAAAAAAATATCAAACATTGGTTTGTATCCAGTGGGGGCAGGGTATTAATGGAAAGTCTTAAGAAAAGACATTCCCCTGTTTTTACAGCCATCTCAGTTCTTACCCAGTTTCTCTCTGGAGGGGCCCCCAACCTTCACTGAATGCTTTGACAAATGTTCAGGGATGTTGTGGGGAAAAGCAGTGACAGACATTGGATAGTTTAACAAGAACAAGAACACTTCCCAGTGATTCAGCGTCTGGAAGGGAGAAGACAAAGGAAGAACCAATCTCATTTTTTTAGGAAATTCTTTGAAAAGGAAGCAAAAAAAGACAACATCCAGTTAGCTGAATTACATTTACAAGCAATGTTTAGTCACCTGTACTTGTATTACTGCTCCTTTTCTTACGTATTGCAATTTATTAAAGAGCTGTTACTCTATTTTCTATCATGGAAGACAAAAAAAAATACAACATCACCAGAGTCTAGTATGACTTGAAAGAGTCACATAATAGATGGATGGGCAGGTGGATAGGATATTTAAAAGACCAATGAAGTCACATCTAGATTTAGTCATGCATAGAGCAGACCCATTCAAAGCAGTGAAACTTACATTAATCACACAAACTAGGCAATGGGTGTTTGGTTTCATCCCTCCTGCCTTTTAATGGTGTATGAAACCATTGTTTTTGTCCAAGGTGAAAAAAGAGCTTGCAAAAATATCTCCCTCTTGAAGATGCAATGAGTGTTCCCAAAGTCTGGAAACTTTGGGAATGTGAAAGTCGCATTATTATACCGTGCTAGCGCTACACCATCAAATTTAACTAACAACATTAATTTGTAGCAGTTTGTGATACAATGCCTCAGAGTTGATACCACAGTTGAAGATATAAAATTTTGAACTATGAAAAGTCCCCTTAATTTTAGTAGCATTACTAATTTGTGGGGGTCTGACATTGAATAATTTGAACCTTGGAGTATATGATTCAGTGATATTGCCATGGCTGCATGCCATGGATTTATTTATTATATCCATTGCCATGGCTGGGTGGATTTATTACAGATGAAATATATTTTTCCTTTCACATAAAGTTTTATAAATAAAGGTGTTTTATTGAACACTACCAAGTGGATTTGAAACTCTTGATACAACATTGCTGAAGGACCACAGCTCTTCATTCCCTCCATTCACCAGTTTCATAGACATGCTTCTAGCCCAGGGTTGTCAAACTGCCGCCCCACGGGCTGGAAGCATCATTGGGAGACCACACCCACCCCATTGCCGGCAACGGCGAAAAAGCTCCGATACATTGAGCAATGTCACGTGATGTCGCGAGTTTGACATGTCTGTTCTAACCCATTTTGCTTGTCCTACAGTAGCTAGAGCTAAGTTGGAGAATTTTTCTTACAGGAAACTCCCACTCAATCCCTGTCAGTTTTTTTTAAACCCTTCTATTTAAAACTCTTCAATCAGGCCTGCTGCTAATTAACCAACAGATGCACTAAGGGACATTCCCCTGTCCCTAGATACAGTAAGACCAAACAACAACTGCTTGTTATGAATAGTCAATTTTATTATTTGTATGGGACCCAGTTCTACTTTAATGTCTTGCATAATGTCTTAAACACAAGTTTAACAGCAACTTTTGAACTCATTGGACTGCAAGTATTTGCTTCACCCATCCCAACAGATACCTTACAAGAACAGGACATTTTTCTTGTATGGTACATACCCAAATACATAGTACCTACACTCCATAGCCTAACTCGTTTCTTAACAAGGATACTCAACCACAGCTGCCTTGCAAAAATAGGTCTTACTTCTGGCAACTTGCACTCTCTTGGACCTTCTCCTTGCTCCTTCACATGTATTGTTGGTTCTTTGGCTCTTCCCATTCCATCCAACCCTCAGCTTTCAGATTTGAGTGGTCCTTGGCCTTGATCCATGTAAATAAGAAACTTGCTAGCCAACCCACCTTTTTTAAGCCCAGTTTCAGGCAGCTGCACCAGTGAGGAGAAAAGTCTTGTATGTTCTCCCTGCACTTCTTTTTCAGCATCCCTCATAACATTGACTGGTCCACCAAGTGACTGATTGTTAAATCAAAATTACCTGTGTAATTGTAAAGATATCTCTTGATACCTCTTTTGTATTATCCAAAGGGTTTTTTTTCCCCAAATCATCAAAACCACAAATCATAATGTTTTGTCTTTAATGTAAAAAAAGCAAGACAACATGAGAAGCTTACTGTGGGATTTAATGAGCTGGATCACTACAGGTTTCAGTATGCAGTTACTACCCATATTAAAGAATGATCAGCAAAAAGAATTCACTTAAAAGAAGAAAAGTTTTATTTCTTCAGGGAGAATTTAACAAGGATAAAACATATATCCAAAAAGTAAAATAGTGAGGTAACACAAAGAATTGATATTAATATTTTAATACCACATACTTGCCCTTAAATCCTAATCCTTTTGGTTTTAAATATAACCACTATCAATATGTATATAGATCTTAACCATATGAGCACAACCATGGAATTCTAGAGAGAACAGGTGCCTTCTGTTGTCCTTCCTAGTGTGTCTATGTTGCCTACACAGGAATTCTTTTTGGTACTCTCTGAGCTTGTTATTTTCTTGCAGACATTTCATTACTCAAACTTGGTGACATCACCATGTGGGGTTTTTTTGTCTTTTTTTGAGCTTGTTTAACAGATATCATTAGAAAGTTCTCCATGCAGAGATAGCAAGGGTAAGATGCCTTCTGGTAGGCAATTTATCCCTAACAGTTTCAGAGTTGTGAGTCTTCCTTCCTTCCTTCCTTCCTTCCTTCCTTCCTTCCTTCCTTCCTTCCTTCCTTCCTTCCTTCCTTCCTTCTTTCCTTCCCTCCCTCTCTCCCTCCCTCCCTCCCTCTCTCTCTCTTTCTTTCCTATTTATTTATATTAAATTAATACACCACCCTTCTTGCTGTCATGCCTATCTTAGGAAGCATGTAAAACTTCTAATTTGTAAAAACGGGGTGCAAAGACATATGGTTTCATCCAAGACATGGTGACATCTCAGCTGTGTCTGGGGCAACCAAGTTGGCTTTTGCATTGCTCTTTTAGCATGCCTTGTGTCTAACCCAACTTGAAAGGTCTGTTGAGTTGACTTAATTTAATATCTATCCTGACACCTCCACCCAAAAGAGGCATAAGAGTTATTATTGACTGCCACAGACTCACTTAGTGTTCCCAGACAGTTGACTAGCCACTCTCAATTTCCTCAGCTGGATAGTTTAGCCACACCAGGCCTTTTCAAGGACACATCAATATCCATAACCTGTCAGGTTATCCCATCTTGATCCAACCATACTCTCAGCTTAGTAAAGACAAAGCCAACCAAGTAATTAGGAGAGTAATGAGGAGGATAAGAAAACAAGAAACGCTTAAATCAGAAACAGGTAATAAACAAGGCTGACCTCCATCTACTACAGGGGTCTTCAAACTTGGCCCTTTTATGAGGGCTGAGGAATTCTGAGAGTTGAAGTCCACAAGTCATAAAAGGGCCAAGTAGACTCCTGATCTACCAGAACTAAAAGCCATGGTAAGTGATTACACTTAAACCCTTGCTGGAGCTTGGCTTGGAAGCTCAGCTTGATATTCAGTAACCACTTCGCTTAGAATTCAACTTTGGCAGCCACTCCATCTTGCAGCTTGAGGCTGTAGAAGTAATTCCACAGAGAGGCAAGGGCTCCATGCCACCTGAACTCTGAGAGTTTAAAGAGGTAGAGAAGTCTAGAGTAAACCAAAAGCCTCGTTACTGGTTAGGTCAGTTCATTATAATTGGGAATGTAAGGTTAACCTTCTACAGCCAAGACACATGTCTTGGGGAAAGTGTGAAATGCAATAATAAAAAAAGGGTTCCATCACAGATAAAAGAACTCCACACTAACTAGGAAACAAATGAATCAGCTCATAAAATTGCTACTTTCTTGAATGAAATTATTAAGAGAAGAGGATCCCAAACACCTAGGTGTTTGACTAGTCACAGTCAATATTTGTTTTAATTAACTCATGTAACTGTTGGCATTAAATAGATTGCTAGGAGCTGAAATAGATCATGGATAACCTAATGGACTCAATATCTGTTTTATGTCTCAGAGGTTGCTGAAGTTTGTCTATATTAATTAAAAACAGGGAGAAGGAAAGACAACTTGCAAAATAGGGTGACAACAATTCTGATTAATTGCCCTTTCCCCAATGTTCAATATTCAATTAAGTATATACAGAAAATTTTTCAAGGAAGAAAAGATGTTTTCCTTCTACACCCAGAAGCATTTCCATTTTGTTCACAACAGAGTAATTGCACCAAGTGTACTGTGCATAGTTTGAACCTCCTACTAGGAGGAATAGCACTATATAAATGTGCACCAAGTCCAGCTACTATCAAAGTAGTAGAGTTATGAGAATGCTGGAAAAAATGAAAGTTTACTTTGCCCTACTTGATTCACTCTGAGGAAATAGCTTTGACCTTTGATTGCAATTCACACGTAATAACTCTACTAAATATTGCAAAGAAACTGCAACATTTTTAATTGGGGCTTATTGTCAGTGAAATAGA